CCATGCCGCAGGGGGGAGGGGGGGGGCAGAACTAGACTTAGCATTCGCTAGCAGCAGGGAATGTCCCCACGGAGCCCGTCGTGTTCCTTGTGCCCCCAAAACAAAATTAACTCCGCCTCTGAGATCTTCCCAGCGCTCCTTCCTTGCGCTTCCCAGGCTGGGAGCTGTGGCTGCTGGAGAACGGCTCCTCGCTCTGAAGCAGGGGAGACTCCTTTGCAGGGGCTAGCTGTCTGGCGCTCCCTGCCGGGGAGGGGGGGGCATGCCCCTTGGGGGGTGAGTGACAGCTCTGGTTCGGAGCTCAAGCAGGCTGCAGATTCATTATCACGGAGGCACAGAGCAGGGCATTTTGGATCAGTGAAGAGGCCATTGTCTGCGGTGCAGACGGAGGCAGAGCGAGGTCGTGCAAGGGGATTGCCTGCAGCAGAACACACATCTCCTGGCTCCCAGGCCCCCACTGTCACCCACCAGAATGGGCAAACCGAGGGGCAAACAATTCCTGCCCACCCACCCGCCTCTGAGCTCCGCAAGGGGTCCCCGAGCCGTCGCTTTCGCCTGCGCTTGGGCTGGGACCAGATGTGCAGCGGGCTGGGAACAAGGCTGCTGTGCCACGATTTTCCCAGCCTCAAGCCCTTCCGACGAGCAGCCGGACCTCCCGGCACATTTCCCGGGCTGCTAATCCCCGTGGCTAATGAGAGACAGGCGCAGTTGTAAGCTGTTTAAAAGGCCCCTTGACTAGGATTAAGGAGGGGAGGGCAGGCAGTGGAAAGAAAGAAGCCTCCAGTTGAGGGCACCTCGTAATGCGGTGAGTGCTGCGAGGTGTGTGTGTCTGTGTGTGTGTCTATGTGTGTGTGTGCCCATGTGCCTGAGGGACCTGTCTGAGCTTTCTCAGGGCCCAGTGCTGTAGGGATCTGTGAAACTGACCAAGTCCTTTGTCTGGTGCCTACGAAAGTGACCAGGTCCTCTGCCTGGCTCCTTCCATACATCCCCTCTCCTAAATTTCAGCCTCTTCTTGCCTCTGGCCAGAACATCAACCCCACTCCCTGCAAATTGCAAGCATCCAGCATAGCCACTCTCCCCAAAGCCCGCCCTGAGGGTGACGCTCACCCAGTGGACCCTGGATGCTCCGGGGACTCAGCCCACATTTCCAGCAAGAGCCTCACAAGTGTGGGGTGGGCTTCTCCACATTAATTCTCATTTGGCTGCCCCACTGCAGGCGGGCACAGGGCTGCGTTTCCTAGCTTGGCTCATGCGTGCTTATTATTGGCAGAGGGGGGCTGGTCCCTGGGGGGGTAAGTGTCCGAGATCGGAGGAGCCCAGTGTCTGCTTGGGAGGTGAGAGATGCCCCTGCAGGTCATGGGACGGTTTAAAGCAGGGGTGGGGGACCTAAGGCCCGGGGGCTGGACGGGGCCCGTGGCTTGTCTGGATCCCGCCCCCTCGGGCTAAGGGCTCTCCCCCAGCATTGGGGAGCCTGTGCTGGTGCTCCAGCCCTCTGCCCCCTGTGGGGCTGGAGCACACAATCTACTAGCCTGGGCCCCCTAAGCTCTGGTATGTGGGGGAACGTGGGGAGGGTCTTTCTCCTCCGTGAGGGGTTTGGGGTTTTTTTTTTTGTGTGCGGCCCTCGACTGATTTTTCTGTGGGTCTGCAGCCTGCCCCCTTCCCCCCTGCCTGGTTTAAAGAGCTGCCCAGGCAAGGGCCTTTTCTGTTCTCTGGGGCCCTGCCTGGCCCATGCAGACATGGGGGGAGATGAGCCCACAGCTTGGAGTATCTGGAGGCTGGCTTTTGGGCCCTGCCTGTTGTTTAACCCCGATTCCCTTTCCTGCAGATGGCTGTTGCTTGTGGGCAGCTCCCCGGGGAAATGCAGGGGGCATCTTGAATCCCAGATGGGAAGGGGCAGGTGATGGCGGGGGGGCGGGGGAAGCCCGGCTCAGGGCGGCAGGGCTGATCGTGCTGGTAACTCCTCACGCTCCTTCCTTCCCCGATTTTCATTCAAGGAGCTGCGCCGGGCCGCTCTCCCTGGGTTGGTGGAGGATTCCATTTGAAGTGTCTCTGCCTCTGTCAATTGGCTGGAGGGAGAGACCTGTCTGGCAGGGGGGCGGGGCGTGTGTCTTGAAATAGGAAGCCCCGTGCTGGTCTCCCCGCCTCCTGGCGCAGACAGCCCGCCTGTCAGGCCCTTTGTCTGGCTGCACCGGCAGGAGCAGGAGGCAGCAGCAATCGGGGGCCGCACGCTCCTGCCGGCTCCGGGCTGGGTACTGAGCTCTGTTCCCTTCTTTGCAGCGACTGGAGCGTGACCGCAGGGCAGACCCGCCACGGCTGCCGGCCCCTGGGGCCCCTCGCTCCGGGCTCCCCTGGACGATCAGCGCGGCGTTTCTTCCGGGAGGAGCATCCAGCTGGAATCTTCGCGGGCGGGCATGGCTGGCAGGTGACCCTTGATGGACACAGCTGTGGGGGGCCCGGCGAGCGGAGTGGGGCGCTGAGCAGCATGTCCGTGGAAACCCTCCAGGCCGGAGCCGCGATGAAGGGGGTTCCGGCCACGGCATCCTTCACCTCGGCCATGCCGTTCCGGATCCTCAACAAGGGGCCTGAGTACTTCCGCCGGGAGGCCGCTCCGGGCGCCAGGAAGCCCAGTGCCGTGGAGAGGCTGGAGGCGGACAAAGCCAAGTACGTGAAGAGCCTGCACGTGGCCAGCACCAAGCAGGAGCCGGTGAAGCCCCTCCTGAAGCAGCCTCTCTTCCCCCTGGGGGTGCGGCGAACGATGCTCACGCCGAGCCGCAAGACCCCTGCAGGGGGCCGCCGGGCAGAAGCTGCCGGGCCCAAGACCTCCCTGAACCTGGAGATCCTCAACAACCTCATTAACATCCGCGACAGCCCTGCCTTCCCCAAGCCGGCGAGCCCCCTGGAGCACAAGTGGCGAGCGGAGCCGCCCGAGCCCCGCACGCCAGACGGGCGCCCGGCGGGGCAGAGGAGGAAGGGCCCGGCGGAGGGCATGAGCAAGCTGTCGGAGAGCTCCGTCACCTCCAAGCCCTCCAGCACGGTGGCCGTGCGCCGAGTGGACGTCCGGCCCTGCGGGGTGCTCCGGGGCAGAGAGTCCCCCGCCATCCAGGTGACGCCTGTGCCCGCCTCCCCCGCCCAGGCCCGAGTCCCCTCCACCAGCTCCCCGAACAGAAGCCCCCACGAGAGGCGGGCGGACAGCGCCAAGCGCCAGACACTCCTGCACCGGTCCAAGTCTGACCTGAGCGACCGGTACTCCCGGGCCACGGCCGACCTGGAGCGCTTCTTCAACTACTGCGGGCTGGACCCCGAGGAGGTGAGGGACCTCGGGGGGGAGCACTTTGCCCGGGCCAGCTCGGACATCGTCTCCGTCAAGTTCCACAGCGTCAGCACCGCCAGCTCGGAGGGCGCCCGCTCCCAGCGCAGCACCGCCACCCTGGAGGACAAGCCGGCGGAGCGCATGCCCTACGGCATCTCCGTCGTCGAGCGCAACGCCAGGGTCATCAAGTGGCTGTACGGACTCCGGCAAGCCAGGGAGCCCCAGAAGGTATCCAACGTATAGCGACGCCAGGGCCGAGCCCTTGGCGGGGGGGTGACGGGCAAGGGGCGTGTTCATGTCGTGCACGACTCGATCTGGTCCTGGTGGAGTCTCCTAGATCCTGTAACTCACGTCCCGGTCCCCTGCTGTCCTTTCCCCGCCCCGTCCCCTGGCGCTCAGCGAGCTGGTCCTTCCAGAGAGCTCGCTGAGCCCGGACCTTCAAGAGGCCCAAGCCCCGGTGAAGAGAGAGGGCCAATTTCCTTGGCACGGGGCTGAGGGGAGGAGCAGGGCCGTTCAGCAGTCCCAGGAGTAACTGTCACGTTCAGCAGCTGGAAGGATGTGGGAGCTGGGCCTGTGAATATGCAAGCTATTAATAAAGAGCCTGGAATATGGCCCCACCCCCGAGAGCCAGGCCCAGGGCAAAGGGCTGCCTTGCACCTGCCTTGATCCAGTCTCCGGCCCCTGCCTGTCTCGGGCTCGGTTTCCTGAGCCCGCTCCGAGAGGGTTGTAAATGCCCTGGCTGGGGTGAGGCGGCAGGACACCTGCCTCGTGGGTGCGCCAGGGGAACACCTGTGCAGCTCCCGGCCCGCACACGCCGCGGAGGGCAGGGGTCCCGGTGGAGGGCTTTGCTCCAGCCCTGTCTGTGGGACAGACCCGGAGTCTTACCCCCACAACGGCTCTGCCACGAGCTACCAAGGGATCTGGTGCTAAACGTCGTACCCCACCCGTGGTGGCACCCTCCTCCCCGGCCCCTGCCCCTCCCTGCCGTGTCGGGGGAGTGTTCCCCAGCGCTCTGCGAACATGGCCCACGGCAGCATCTGACGTGCATCTCTTGCATCCGGGGAGCTGGTTTGCATCAGCCCAGCTGGTCCCCACCCCGAGGAGACACCGTCCGGCCTGTCACGCAACCTTGCTGCACCTTTTGTGCTACCGGCCGGGCAGACTGTCCGAAGCGCCCACGCCGGTGAACGGGGTGCACATGGGCCACTCTATCCATGCCCCCCATGTTCACCCCAGGGGTGGGGGTTCTAAACCCCTCCCCGCCCAGCAAGTCTTTGTAGTTTGTGCCCAGCCTTTGTGGAGTTCGGAGACACCCCCGTCTCCGCGGGCGGCTTGATCCAGAGGAAACTGAATTTTGGTGTTTTGTTTTGCTCGTCGCCGAAAGTCCCATCACGCTGGTTCCGCAGCCGATTTCCACATTAGTTAAGCTCTTTTGTGGGGGGGAGGAAACGGGTGCGGGTAAGAAATCCCTGGGCTGTGGTGTGCCGGAGCCTGGGGCGATTGTAACACACTTGTCTTTGTTGCAGCCGGCTCTCGCTTTGAACGGACAGCCCCGGGGCGCGCTGGTCTGCTCCAGGAGCGGCTGTCTGTGTGACTGATCTCTCTCCCCCGAAAGGCCCCTTGCCCTTGTTCTGTTACCTGGCTGCTCTGGCTGTTGGTTTTGCTCCCAGGTGCCTCCTTTTTTTGCAGCTGCCGCTTGGCTGCAGTTGTGGGTCCATTTCGCTGGATGGCAGCTTGCCTTTTGATAGCTGATCCTGTGGAGAGATGCTGAGTGTGTGTGTGTGTGGGGGGGGGGAGTGACCCTTGAAAGGGACGTATAGCAGGAAAGTAATTCTTCGGGAGGTGCCTCGTTGCTCCCGCTGGAAATCGCCTTATCACCCCCAGCCGGGCTGCGTCCCCATGATGTTGTGCATCTTGATTCCACGAGAAGGGCCGGCTGCAGGGAGCGAGTGTAAAGCGGCGGGAGCTTTTTGAACAGCCTTGGGGCGGGGATCAAGAAACTCTCCTCCCCAAGCTGGAAAGCGCACGCAGGCCCAGTGCTCCACGAAGTGCAGCAGTGAGGCTGCAAATAAACTCGCCTGCTTTGCCGTAATGGCAAAAATCTACCTCCTCGATGCAGGATTACCAAGGCTCTTGCTGGGGGGCGTGTGTGGTTTTTTTTACCTGTGTATATTTGTGTGTTTTTGTACCTCCTTTTTCTCTGCCACCTGTCCAAACCGCCCAAGAGTTCTGGGAAGGCCGGGTCCTGGTTATTTATGAAGCTGGTTCTGTGTTGTTCTCTTCTCCTTTTTTACTGGATGTGCCGATGTTTGTTCTGTAAAAAACTCGACTGATTTGATTAAAGTCCTGCCCTTTGGCTGCTCTGTCTTTGTTGGGTTCAAACCTGGCCCCCCCGTCGGGGCTCCAGGCGTCAGAGGGATGGCGCCTGGACCGTGTTCCCCTCTTGGGGGCTCATCTCGTCGCAGCCGGGTTCAAAGCAAGGAAGCGACGGAGCTTGTGGGTACATCGGCGGTCCCCCACCTGTGCCGGAGGGATCGGCCTCCCTCAGAAGGAGAAAATAAAATCCCAGCAAAATAAATCGTCCTCTTTCGGATCCTCGTACTGTTCCCAGCAGAGAACGTGACCCAAACCCAGCACTTCCTTGCTCACTGTGGGCCAGACTGTGCCGTCCCCGGCTCATCCGTGGTCCTTTCTCTGCCCCCCAAAGCAGCAGCTGGATGTCAAGGGGGTGGCACCTGCAGGGGTTGGGGGGCAGCGAAGGAGGGGGAGGGTGCCCACAGGGTCCCTCTGTAGGATTCCACTATCCATGGGCGGCTCTGCCAGGCTGAGTCTGGCCTGCAAGGAAGCCCATGGAGCAGAGGGAGCCATTGGCTCAGGAGAGACCCGGCATGTGTGCATGTGTCATGGCCGAGCATGTGTTGCCCTGCGGCGTAAGCCAGCTGGAGGGCTGCCCCCACTTGCAGGCAGCGGGGGAGCCGGAGTGGGGGGAGGGTGCTGACCATCTGGGAGCGGCGGTGCACACGCCGGTGAGGCTGCTTGAAGTCCCTCGGGCTCGTGCCATCTGCCGCGGCTCGGGGTGCGGCGGGATAAGCTGCGTGATGGGAGAACGCCCCTCTGTGGCCCCGACCCGCACCCAGGTTACAAAGTCTTGGAGGAGTCGGGGAGAGACCTGCCCAGCCAGCTCTGGAAAGCAGGGGCAGCCTTCCCCAAACTGCCTATGGGCCCCGGCCGCCCGAGAGGGGAGGGCTGAGACGGGACAGGCTGGACCCCAGCACGGCAGCCTCGGCCCTCCAGGCGTCCTGGAAAGATAGAACTGGGAGTGGGTGGGGCTTGTCTCCAGGGGCGGGGCCTCTGGCAAAAGGGGCGGGGCTGGGACTTGGCCTGCTGCCCTGCTAGAAAGAAAGAAACCACTACAAGACCATGGTGTGGGGAGGGACAGCTGCCTTCCAGTCACTGCTGTCTGGGCTGCCGGGCTACCAGCAGGGAGCAGGCTGCGGGCAGTGTCCCCAGGCTGGTTCCACACAAGTAGCCAGGCTGTGAGTACTGGGTTCCCCACGGCAACTGGGGACCGGCCAAAGGCTTTGTGCTTTTCCGGTGCTCCGGGAACAGTCACTGGCATTGGGAAGAGGGACGGGCTAGCTCAGCGTGGACAGCCAGGGACTCGCCACCCTTCCCTCCTGGCTCTGCTAACAAGGCTGTCTTTGTTCTTGGGAAAGCAACTGATCCTCCCATCTGGGAAGCGGGGAAGTTGATTGTTACGGGCAGGCATCTAAGAAAGATTAATGAGGGGTTTCCAAAGTGGTCTGAAGAGGAACTAGGGGGTCACCCAATGAACTGACTAGGCAGCAGGTTTAAAACAAACAAAAAGCAGTATTTTGTCCACATATCACATTGTCAACCTGTGGAACTCCTTGCCGGAGGATGTTGTGAAGACCAGGGGTGGTGTCCATAGCCTCTGTTTGTCAGAGGCTGGCACTGGGTGACAGGAGTGGGATCAGTGGATCTGTCCTGTTCATTCCTTTTGGGGGCACCTGGCTTCGGCCACTGTCGGCAGGCAGGACACTGGGCCGGATGGACATTTTTTCTGATCCAGTCTGGCCGTTCTGCTGCAAAAGTGCGCCGTATTCTCTCCAGCCAGCTCTGCCAATGCTCCTCAATCCTAAATCTGGTTTCCTAGGGCCGTGTCCCTGTCCAATTCTTCCGGTGCCCTTGCATCACCTCATCCTGCCCTTGTGTGGGCGGAAGTTGTTTGTCTATGAAACAGCTTCCCCCCAAGAGAACAGTCCATGTGCCACAGGCGGTCTTCCCCTTTCTAAGGAGCAATCTCTGGGCTCGATCAGAGGCTCCTGCAGTCTCTTGTCAAAAGGACGTTGTCACGGGAGCTGGTCAGGAGCCCTGTAACGGGCTGCGGCGTCCGGACCCCGTGCCATACCCGAGGTGTCTCCGCTCAGGTCTTGCTGAACGATGGACCGACTCTTCCCCAGGCCACGTTTTAACAATCTGCAGCCGGCTCACAAGCAAACCTTCCAATCCGAACCCGGGTGTCCGCAGTAAAAACATCTGCTGGGCAGACAGGCAGAATACAGCACCGCCCGCCCCCTCCAACACAACTGCCAATGAATGTCTCTGGCCAGCCAAGAGCAGGGGAACGGCACCTGGAGGGGTTTGCAGATGGAGTCATTTTTACAGGCAAGTTTTAAAAAGCTGCTTCTCAGCTGGGGGCCTTGTCATAGAATCATAGGACTGGAAGGGACCTCGAGAGGTCATCGAGTCCAGCCCCCCGCCCTCAAGGCAGGACCAAGCTCCACCTACACCATCCCTGACAGATGTCTATCTAACCTGTTCTTAAATATCTCCAGAGAGGGAGATTCCACCACCTCCCTTGGCAATTTATTCCAATATTTGACCACCCTGACAGTTAGGAATTTTTTCCTAATGTCCAATCTAAACCTCCCCTGCTGCACTTTAAGCCCATTACTCCTTGTCCTGTCCTCAGAAACCAAGAGAAACAAATTTTCTCCTTCCTCCTTGTGACACCCTTTTAGATATTTGAAAACCGCAATCATGTCCCCCCTAAACCTCCCTTGCTGCACTTTAAGCCCATTACTCCTTGTCCTGTCCTCAGAAACCAAGAGGAACAAATTTTCTCCTTCCTCCTTGTGACACCCTTTTAGATATTTGAAAACCGGCTATCATGTCCCCCTTAATCTTCTTTTTTCCAAACTAAACAAGCCCAGTTCATGAAGCCTGGCTTCATAGGTCATGTTCTCTAGGCCTTTAATCATTCTTGTCGCTCTTCTCTGTACCCTTTCCAATTTCTCCACATCTTTCTTGAAATGTGGCGTCCAGAACTGGACACAGTACTCCAGCTGAGGCCTCACTAGTGCAGAGTAGAGCGGCAGGATGACTTCACGAGTTTTGCTTACAACACACCTGTTGATACAACCTAGAATCATATTTGCTTTTTTTGCAACAGCATCACACTGTTGACTCATATTCAACTTGTGGTCCACTATGACCCCTAGATCCCTTTCCGCCATGCTCCTTCCTAGACAGTCGCTTTCCCATCTTGTCAGGAGGGAAATGATTTTTTCCTTCCGTCTAAGGTAAGGTGTGAATTTAAGCCAGTGTCGCTGGGATGTTACAATTCCCTTTGTGCGGAAGCTGATGTCTCTTGGGAGGGGGCTTACGTCTCTTTGTTACTGGGCTCGGAGTGTTACCACGGAATTAGTGGGGGCACTATTGCATGGCTGGCAACCCTGTTCTGCTGCCCAAGCGTCTCGCAAGCAGCTAGCCAGCGTAGCATGTCCTTGAGAGACGGTGTGCTGTATCGGAGCTAGTCAACCCGGGAAAGTCCTTTCCTTGCTCCCTACATAACGTAACTAGGGGTCACCACGTGAAATGAGCAGGCAACAGGTTTAAAACCAACAAAGGGAAGTTTTTCCTCACCCAGCGCACAGGCAACCTGCGGAACTCCTTGCCGGAGGAGGTTGTGATGGCCAGGCTTTTAACAGGGATCAAAGAGCTAGATGAATCCATGGCGGTTAGGCCCATCAATGGCTATTAGCCAGCATGGGCAGGGATGGGGTCCCTGGCCTGTCTGTCAGAGGCTGGGAATGGGTGACGGGAGGGATCCCTGGATGATTGCCTGTTCTGTTTACTCCCTCTGGGGCACCTGGCAATGACCGCCGTGGGAAGAGAGGACACTGGGCTAGATGGACCACTGGTCTGACCCATTATGGCCGTTCTTAGGGGTGTGATTCCTCTCCCACCATACTGGGTGCCTGTCCTGCTCGCCGGCCCCCCGGGGAGAGTCCCACTTCCCTTTGGTCTGCAAAGGACGCACCACTCTGCTGTGGAAGCGCCCTGCTGTCCGAGGCCCTTGCTTCCTCCTGTGGCTCAGCCGTGACACGTTATTTCCGTGCAGCTCAGCGGCTGCTCCTGCCGTCAGCATCAGGTGGCGTTTGGCTGCCGGGTTGGCTGGCATTGTTGACTTGGGTCGCATTCAATAACCCGACGGCTTCCTGCGGCCACCTCCAAGGGGAGACCCAAGGGGAGGCCGCCAGCGGCCGCTTGGCATGAAATCTCATTAGCCGGATTGGTCTGGATACGGAGGGTGGCGCAGGGTTTTGCAGATGGAAACCTGCTTTGGGTCTGGGCTGATGGATGCATGGGGGAGGCCTCTGGAGCACCCTGTTAATCCGGCAGGCCCAGCTCAGATGGGGCAGGCATCAGAGGGGTGAAGGGCAGGACCCCGTGGCCGGCTTTAGGAAGCGACTAAATATCCCAGCGCCACACGCCCGCCTTGTCCCCGTGCGGCTCCTAATCCCTGCACAAAGGGAGTGAACGCAGGGTGCAGTGAGCCCAGCTCCCTACTCCGAGCCTCTAGGGAGAGGGGGAAAGAGGGAACTGGAGCCTGTCGCTAGGAACCGGAGCTGCTAGGGCAACATCACAGCTCGGTAAGCAGAGAAGGCCCCCGCGCCCCACTAGAGCTCTCTGCCCAGCCCCCGCCTTTGGGGTGTCACAAGCCCCCACTTGCTGTGGCTGCCAGTGTAAAGTAATGCACATTGGAAAAAATAACCCTAACTATACGTACAATATGATGAAGACTAATTTAGCTACAGCTACGCTAGAACGAGATCCACGTCCATGCAGTGTGCAGCAGCAGTCAAAAAAGCAAACAGGATGCTAGGAATTATTAAAAAAGGGATAGAAAATAAGAAAAAGAATATCTTACTGCCCCTATATAAAACTATAGTACGCCCACATCTTGAATACTGCATACAGATGTTGTCTCCTCACCTCAAAAAAGATATTTTGGGCTTTAGAAAAGGTTCCGAAAAGGGCAACTAAAAATGATGAGGGGTTTGGAACGGGTCCCATATGAGGAGAGGCTAAAGCGACTGGGACTTTTCAGTTTAGAAAAGAGGAGACTGAGGGGGGATATGACAGAGGTCTATAAAATCATGAGTGGTGTGGAGAGAGTGAATAAAGAAAAGTTATTTACTTGTTCCTACAATATAAGAACTAGAGGTCACCAAATGAAATGAATATGCAGCAGGTTTAAAACAAACAAAAGGAAGGACTACTTCATGCAGCACAGAGTTAACCTGTGGAACTCCTTGCCAGAGGAGGCTGTGAAGGCTAGGACTATAACAGAGTTTAAAAAAGAGCTAGATAAATTCATGGAGGTTAGGTCCATAAAAGGCTATTAGCCAGGGGGTAAGGAATGGTGCCCCTGGCCTCTGTCAAAGGCTGGAGAAGGATGGCAGGAGACAAACTGCTTGATCATTGTCTTTGGTCCACCCCTCTGGGGGACCTGGCGCTGGCCACTGTGGGCAGGCAGGATACTGGGCTGGATGGACCTTTGGTCTGACCCGTCTGGCCATTCTTATGTTCTTATAGATTCTGTGCGTTCATGGCAGGCCCTGCCCTGAGATGGGCTGGCACAAAATGCAAACGTGCCGCCCCGAGAGCGCAGCAGGATCATCCGCGGGGGCTGCCCGGGGCTGGCGTGTGCAGGAGTGGAGGCCTTCGAATGACAAAGGCTCCTTCTCGTCTGCCCCTGGGCGGCTGCTTCTGGGACAGCTGCGTGCAGCAGCGCGCAGGGCCGGGGCTGGTCCCACGCAGCAGGTGAAGGGACAGGTGCCAGCACGGCCCCGTATTCGGAGCGCCGGGGGCTTGATTTATGAGGCCAGCTGGAGGGAGCCATGCCTGCACTTTGGGTAAATGAGAGCCGGGGGGGTTAGAGCCACAAGGGGGAGGGAAGACGACGAGAAGATCCGGGTGATCTGGATCGGAACAGGAGCAGCGCCCTGGGTCCCCCTCAGCCCTTCCTGGGGGGCTCAGAGAGCTGCCGTTCTCCAACAAGCCCAGCTTGGCTCAGTGCCTGGCAACTGGTTTCCTGCCTCCCCGGTGGCAGCTGTCATCTTGGGGGCTGGGCAGCTAATCCCCAAAGCCCCCGGCTGCCTTCTCCACGCTGCGCCTTCTCTCCAGGGCTCCTTCTTGGAGACCGGCCGAGCTGTTCTGTGAGCCCCCCCGACACGCCGGGCTGGCCATCAGCAAGGCCTGTACCGGGCAGGGGAGGGGATTCCAGGCTGGAGCCCGGCGAGGAGGAAGAGAACACAGATGCACCTTGGAGGGGGTCGCAAAGTGGCTGCAGCTTTCCGCCTTCGACAGAAATCAGTTGGGGACTTGCAGATATAACGCGGATACCCGCATTGACAGCCACGGACGTGGGGACTCGTGGATATCTGTGGGTTTGCAGGGCTCTACTCATGGTCCCCCAAAGCCGTTGTCCAGTCTGGAACACCGGGTTGATATCACTCTGCCTTTCTAGGCAGCCTCACATTCAAGGAATTCAAAGCATTTTACAAACTCCAGTTAGACCTCACACCCCCCGTGAGCGATATGAGAGTGTGGAGCATGTACAGGTCGTTTCTCCCACCCCTGAAGTGCGGCCAGGTCTGGGGTGGAGCACTGTGGCGGGTGACCTGTGTACAGCAAAGCTCAGGACAGGAAGTGAAGACTACTCTCCAAATGAGTGAGGAGCGGGGTGATTGGGGCTGGCAGGATGTGAATACATGCAGGTGGAATTTACCCATGGGATCCTGACTGGCCAGGAGCTCAGAGTTACATTTCATAGGCAAGACTAGCAATAAATAATACTGGGGAAAGCACAGCCGGGCGCTTAGACACCAAGACCATGAGACAGCCTCAGCAAGGGTACATGAGCTGGCCTGTCAACAGGGCTATTAGATGATGTGCAGGAGTCACTGGGAAAATACCGCGGTCGTTTGCACACAGTGGTTCTGCTTCAGGAAGATCTAACACTGCCCTTGTGCCTTGCAGCTCCGAAGCACCATGCAACCCCTGGCATCACCCTGCCCAGTCTTCTGGGGGCACTTAGTATATTCACTTATCCCCGCCTGATTGGTTACAGCCCATGTTATTGACAAGAGAGGCTGCCTGGGCTGATCTGCTGTCACAGAGCGTCTTCTTATTCCGATGGCTTTTTACACTGAGGTTGGAAAATGTCAGGGTTTGGCAGGGGCTTAGCCACATACTAGCCACACAGCAACCCATCACCCACTGGCATGACAAGGGCTTTCTTCCAGTCTTATGGAGCAGCCCCAGTCTTCCAGGACCTCTTGAAATCAACATGCATGTGCCAAAGATGCCCTCAGCCAGCTCTTTTAAAACTCTTGGGTGCAAGTCCCCTGGACCTGCTCATTTAACAATCTCTGACTTAAGTAGCTCCTCTGTTACAGTGCTCCTTCCATTCTGCTACTATCTTGGGAGGAGATCACATGCCTTTTGGGGTATCTAGGGACGCGTTCTTAAACAATTCCCAATGATCCCTCCCATTGTTCTAATTAAATTCATTCCTGGGACTGGGGCTCCACCCATGTTGCCTGAGATCTGACTCACAAGCTCTCCATGGACAGCTGGCCCAAGGGGTGTTTGTGGTGCTGTGGATTTCAGGAGTGGCACTGTGCTGTAGCGTCTGCACTGCACAGACACCGTCTTGGTGCCACCCATAAGACCACACAGAGATCAAAGCACAGCCCTGACCAGGCCCATGTGCCAGGCAACTTTAATGAGCAATCCCCTGAGCTTCTGGGAGCAGCCTCTGCAAAGCAGGATTCCCCAGGTCAGGCCATGAAGCTCAGGGTCTCTCCCCCATGGGGTGATGCTGGAACTCGCCCACGAACCCGGCTGCCTTCCGGAGAGACCCTGATGGTTTCAGCCCTAGGGACGGTTTCCTGGCAGAGTGGAAAGAACTGTAGAGCTTCACACTAGCCATGGGCAGCATAAGTCCCAGGAAAACCACCCCATAACTGCCCCACCCCACATGATGATCACGGCCTCTTCCAAACACGCCTCCCTCGCAACTCTGCCCCAGCTGGCCAGTGGATTTCGCATGCGCTGAGGGGCAGGCACAAAGAGCCGGGTGCTATTAACCCAGGGAGAAGATGCTGCGCAGAAGGGATGTTAAATATCGGTTAATTGACTAGTCGATTAACCTCGTGAATTCTTATCGGTTACTTGACTAGTTGATAGTCACGAGGGGCGGGGCCCGCGGCCAGTGGGCTCTGGCCTCAGTCCTGAGGAGTCCCCTGCCACTCTGTGCTGCTGCCTCTGATACTGCAGAGGCTGTAAAAACCAGCTTCCCTCGTGGACCAGCTGCCTGTCACCCCGCCCTGATACCTCTGACATAGAGGCAGCAGCCCCTGTCCAGGGGCGAGGTGGTCCAAGCTCCTGGACTCAACACGAGCCGGAACTGAGCAAGCTGCCTGCCCGCCTGGCTCCTAATACACTTTAAATGCAGAGCGGCAGTGGGGGTAGGTCCCGGCTGGGTTGCTGGCCAGCCTACTAAAAAATGTACTGGCCGGAGCTTGGGGGAGAAAGAAATGTGTGTAGTCTACAGCAGTGCTTCCCAACCTTTTTGAGTTTATGGACCCCTTTTCAATGTATTGAAATTTCATGGACCCCCCTCCCACCCCCATGGGAGAAAAGAAAAGAAAAGAAAAGAAAAGAAAAGAAAAGATGGGCCCGACCCAAACATTTAAAACGTCCCCCGGACCCCCTGCAGTACCGTCACAGAACACCAGGGGTCTGCAGACCACAGCTTGGGAACCACTGGTCTATGGAATTAACAGAAAAGTTTTTGCTCATCGGTTAATCGACTGCACTATTACATCCCTCGTGCGCACAAGGGGGAGAGCGGAGGCTCCCGATCCCGACGTCCCTAGCAAGCTGCTGCACACGCCCACCAGGTCGCTCCTGCCTCGCGGGGACCTAAGTGCTCATTAGCACCTCCCAAGCACGGGCTTAAACCCGTCCACGTGAGACACACCCTGAGCGCGTGACGGGAAATGATCCGCCTCACAAGGGCCCCAGCCCCGTCCTGTGCGACCACATTGAACAGCACTCGCCTCTCACACAGCTCTGGGATCAGCAGAGCTCAAAGGGCCTTACAAAGGAGGCAGGGTCATTCCGTTTCACAGCTGGCCAGAGTGGAAATGGCTCACTTCAGACGGAGCTCTCTGGAGAGAAAACGTCAGGTATTAACGGGCTGGGTAATGTCACAGAAAAAGGCAGAACAAGACCAGGGGCTGGGAGGTGAAATCAGACACATTCATATTAGAAATGAGGCACAAATATTTCACAGGGAGGATGATTCCCCATTGGAGCAAACTCCCAAAGCGAGTGACGGAGTCTCTGTTTCTTGGCATCCTCCAGTGAAGAGCAGATGCCTTTCTGGTGCGCGCTTGGATCCAAACTTACCCGCTGTGCTATAGAGGAGGGCTGGGATGTGCAGGGGTCAGATTTGATGCTCTCCTGATCCCTTCTGGCCTTAGTCTTCCAATTCATGACAGAGTGCGGCCTAGGGGCAGCCTCTGGGGCGTTACTGTGCAGCCGGCTTGGTCCCCAGACTCCGTGTCGTTCAGTGGGACGATGCAGGGGAAGAAGCTCAAACAACCAAAGAGGCGGGCCAGGGTCAGAACACGGGCCTTAAAAGGGAGGGGTGGGTGTGGCAGTGACATCACAAAGGCTTGTTGCAGGGCCTCCACCGATTGGGGGACAGTGGTAGGGAGGTGATGACCTCACAGAGAGACCCTGACATCAGCCAGACAGGACAGTGGTGCAAGGGGGGCAACCTCAGAGACCCCCCCCCTTATGGCTTTGTGGGAGGCCGTCCCAGAGAGGTGGGGCTGGAATTGCTCGGAGACTGACCCCTCTGGTGCTGACCTGGGCCATCCTTTGGGACATCTGCTGAGACCTCGCCGAGTCTCGATGCTGATTGGCCGAGCAGGGGGCTGTTGACAGGGAGGAGGCGTTTCCCAATTTCCCAGCTGTGACCCATGGCTGCCCCTTCCTTGGCAGGCTCTGCACAAGGCCTTGTCTGACCCCAGGCTGGGAAACCTGCAGGCAGAGTCCCCCGACGCCAGGTGGTGAGCAGGCCAGGAGGCGCAGGGGGCAGTTTTACCTCTGCGCTGGGAGGGGGGGGGGCTGGAAACCCATTTCCCAGCCTGTGCTCCTAGCCTGCGCCCCAAGGGCCAGCCTTGGTCAGGGCAGTCAGGGTGTACACAACCTCCTAGTAACTCTGTAGACTCCTGCTGCCTCCTCGATTTCAAAAAAGAGCTCGATAGATTCCTGGAGGTTAGATCCATCAGTGGCTATTAGCCAGGATGGGCAAGGATGGTATCCCTAGCAGCTGTTTGTCAGAGGCTGGGAATGGGTGATGGGAGGATTCCCTGTTGTGTTCCCTTTCTCTGGGGCACCTGGCATTGGCCACTGTGGGCAGACAGGACACCCGGCTGGATGGCCCTTTGGTCTGACCCAGTCTGGCTGTTCTTATGCTCCTGGAATAGCCAAAATGGCACAGTCTCCGAGAGAAGCAAAATTCTTTGCCCTGGGAACGTGGCCAGCCTCGGGAGGACCAACATCAGGAGTCAAATGAAAAAAATCATGAGACCTGCTTAACATAATGAGATTAAAGAGAAAGAAACAAATCATTCCATGGGGGTCTTTTTACGTGTCTCTGCTTCTGAGCCCCGAGGACACACTCGGGTGGAGTTTTCAGCCTTTTCTCTGCAAACCTGCAGACTTGAAACACTTTACGTGAAAGCAGAGGGTGCGTCTACGCTCCAGAGTCTATGTTGGCAGAGCTGTGCCAGGAGATCCCCCTAAGTTAGATGCAGCCGACACCCACGGGAGTTTTTCTGTTGGCATCACAACACCATCTCCCACCGCAAAGCCCTTTGGACTCATAGCTTGAGTAGTCATGCCTAGCAGTCAGAGACATGGATCAGAGCTGGGGTCAGGCAGGTCTCATGGACTCAGGGCAGCATCCGATGATGCTAATGATCACCGGGTCTCACGTCCGGCACGTTGCAGGCCCCAGAACCTCAGCCATCCTCTCCTGTCCTAGACCCACAGTCTCTGAGTTACTGACTGGATTTAAGATGTCAGTTCTGGAGAATCCACCATTGACACCGGTTGAAACCAGCAAGTGACCTGTGCCCCAGGCTGCAGAGGAAGGCAGCTTTCCCCACCCAAGCCCCTAGCTAATCTGACCTATGGACAATTCCTTCCCATGGGCATCCGGTGGCTTAGAGGAGGGAACGTTCTGCCTTCCCAAATCCCAGCCTGTCCCCGCCCACACTCCGCCCCCAGAGCCCCCCTGCTGTAGGCGTTCTGGGGGGTGGAGTGTTGCTGCCCCTGAGCGCCCACCTTTCCTGGTGTTTAGGGACCCGGGAGGCTGGACCCATGTGGCCACCTCCCTCCCTGCTGCTCCCGGGGCTGGGGAGGCTAGGGCTGGCTTGGGCTGCTTTTCTCTCTGCAGCTCCAGGGATGTTCCTCTCCCTGTGGTAGGGGCGGGGGCTCAGAAGAGGGGGGGGGGGTGTGGGGGG